GTGCTGTTGTTGTGTTCCCAGGTTGCTGACCTGAAGGCAGCTAGACAGCTTGCTTCTGAAATCACCTCCAAAGGAGCAGTTCTGTATGACTTACTTGGCAAAGAAATGGAGCTAAGGGTAAGTACACACTGGAGAGTGTGGAAAAACTTGTGTTCACTGACTGCTGCAAAGGAAAAGGTTAAAAAAATATCAGTGATCCTTAATGACTGCATCTGCCATGAATATTGGGTGACTTTGAAGGAATGGGTCTGACAGTTTGCATTTCCTTCCCACTTGTATTCGTGCCTGGATTGCAGAAAGCCTGAGAGAAGGGTTTGGCATTTTCTCTTTAGCAGGAAACTGAAATACTCTCTGTTGAACTGTTTGGAAATACTAACTTCATGTGCACATTGTAGTGGTGGGGAGGGATATATTCATAAAGATAAATGATTAATGCCCTTAGTTTTCCAAGGGTAAGACTCATTATTCCTGAGTCAGTAGCTGAAGGTCTGTAGGGTAGATGTTCTTCAGCTTAGCTGGGAGATCACAAGCTGGTGCATGAAGTCAGGGAAGTGTCCTGAAACACTGCCAATAAATCTTGCAGTTATTTTCTTCAGTGCACTTACCTGCAGTGCTGGGGGTTATTCATTTTCTGAAAATGGACATTTGAAAAAGAGAAACCCTGCACGTTGTTGGGAATGGTCAGATCTGCAGTATCTGAGCTGCAGGAAGTGCACCCTTTAGAGCTGTAAACTGTGAGCCTCCACTATTAATGCTCCCAGATCCTTGTCTAACGGAGTACAAGTGTTTCAGAGGGTGGGGGATAACACTGGGAAGATTATCCATGGAACACTGCCTTTTCTGCTGGATCTGTACATGATAATGCCACTGTGTAAAGGACATTAATATTTCAACAGACAGAAGGGATAAGCCAGTTTAATTCAGTGTACACAATTATCACAAAACTGTTAATCAGTTACTTCTCATCTTGTATTCTTTACTTAATTCTTTAATTTTCACACAAATGGTACATGATGTGTTAATATTTGCTATGGAGCGTTGAACTTTTTTGTTCTGGGTACAGTGTCCTTATAACTCCACTCAAAAGTCAAATATAGGTCAGTATAAGGCATCATTTTTAAAAAAATACTGAAGCATTGGTTTGGAATTGGGCATTGTTTAACCACTTTAAATCACAGCTTTTAGGAAGCTGCCTTTGGAACTGGGCAAAGGGACAGGCACAAGAGCAGCGTGCTGAAAGGGTGGGATGAAAAATCAGGAGATGAGGAAGTCCTGAAGTGCAGCCACTTTTCACTGGGTGCATTAATAAATCTTCAAAGGTACCATTTCTAAAAGGATGGTGTTTCTTAGACAGAGCAGTGAGCACGTGTTTCTTGTGGCACAAGGGCTGAGTACAACTAATCCTGTGCAGGTATTCTGCACAAAGGTTTGACAGACAGGACTAGCCCTTAAGAAGTCCTGTCCTGGGAAAGATGACCTTTGCTTCTGTGTCATTAGCTCTGAGTGTATCTCCTGAAGGCTAAAGGTGACACAGCGTGGTGAGAACCTCCAGAGAGCAGCAGAAGAGGCTTTCATGCTCTGTTTCTTGTGATTTGTGGCTGGTTCCAACCTTCTTCAGTGATTTGTTAAACCTGAAGGACCCACTTTGGGCTGGTGTGTTAAATTGTCAAGTTTGGTATATAAGCATGTGACAAATTTGGGACTTGAGCCTGGAAAAAAGTCAACAGCTTTCAAGTAAAAAGCCCTGATGCTGCACTAACCAGTTTTTCAATGGAATTTTTCCAGTTTTCCTTCTTTAATTATAAGCCCCCCAACTCTGCTTTTCACTTGAAGGGTGAGATTTGCTCCTCACAGGAGAGGCTTAGAGCCCATTGCTGCTGTTTTCTTCCACCACTGTTGGGCCTGGGCTTCTTGTCACAGAGCCAGTGCTGAGGGCAGTAAGGAATTGCCCTCCCACATCTGCCACATCTTCCCTGGATCCTTCATAGGGTTGCTGAGGTGCTCAGAAGATCTCAGGGATGGCATCTTCTGCCTGCCCTTCCCACCTGCTTCCAGGTGGGCAGTAGGAGAACTGCAGTTAATTCTGGCTTTGTGTAGGGAATTAGAGCTCTGCTGGCAATATCAAATTAATTGCCACTAATCTAAGGTTACTTTTATTCTTTTTTAATGTGCAGATTACTGATTTCCACTGGTTATTTTCTTTTGGCACTGCATGGCTAATTAATGCTCACAGTAAATGGCACTGGCAGAGGGTTTGTACTGTTAAAAGGGTTTAGAACAGTATGGTTTATTTTTTCATTCCATTTTATCTCCTGGTACCTGTTGCATGGACTAAAATGCATCAACAGCTGTGATAGCATTTACATGAATTTGAAAACATGGGAGATTTATGTTCCCCAAACCTCTTTTTTCTTTCTTTTCCCAATCCATTCATTTGCAGATATTTAAATGAAGGCCCTTCCTACCTAGGCTTGCACAGGCTGATGATGTATGTTGTTTCTATCCTAAGTGAAGATGGCTTCATTTTCCAGGAACTATGAAGGAAATGCCAGCATTTGGCACTAATGGGTTGTCTAGGTCTGTTTTTGTAGTCTGAACAGCTTTTGGGGAAGGATCATTGGGGAAAAGTGAAGTAAAACTCATTATTTCCTTTAGAAATGTTGACTCTAATTTGTGCAACAACCTTTATGTTCTCTGTTGGAGTCTTTTTGCACATAATTTGTGTAGGAACTGTGTAGAAAGGGTTTATACATTAAATAAATTCCATTGCTTCAAGTCATGAAACACTTTTTTAAAATAAATTACTTTCTGAATGAAAACAGATTTCAGCTAGAGAAGAGTTTAAGGGAATGGTTCTTTTAGATGTATTGGAGATAGATAGTGCTGTAAATGTATGTGCATATTTTTGGGGAAGAGTTTAAGTCTGTTTTTGTTTTCTTGGAAATGTGGTTCTCTGCCTTTCTGATGCCTTTGCAAATGCATTATTCCCTGACTGAATAGATAGTTCTTCTGTATATGTAAACTGCTTCCAAAGTTAATTTATAGTGTAAAAAAAGGACATTTAATTAAGGACAGAGGAAGAAACAAATCCTACAGGTTTTTTTCTGAATTCAGACTATGATGTTAAATTTTTTGGGAAAACAAAAAACAAATCAAACCCCCAAATTATAGTCTTCTCATCAGATGAAAATCACAATATAATTACTGAATTCCATGGGAGCTGTGTGTTTCCAGCCCAGCTGTGAATGAGCACAGTGCAGGTTATTGGTGTCCTGTGGCAGTGCAGTGCAGGAAACACAGAATTTTTATTTTAAAATGCATTTAAACCTTACATTTGGAAGGTAATTTTCAGTTTCCAGTCTTGCTGGTCCAGGTCTTGGAGCACAGAAGTTGCAGGTAGGATTGGTAGGGTGTAGTGGAGCTGATGGATGAGTTTTGGTACCACACTGTGAGATCCCTACATGAAAAGCAAATTCCATGTACAGAGAAATATGTCTTGGTCTTCATTGTTTCCTTTCCTGCCAGGGGCACTTTGTCTGCATTGCATTGCTGTGTAACCTTAATTTTCAGAATATTTCCATCTAGCTTTGGAAGAGTAACCAGGCATGTTGAGTTCTGGTTTTCTGTAATATGTTTTCTGCTTTTTTGGGGGGATGGGGAAGGTGGAGGTTGATTTGGATTTGAGGTGGAGATGGGAAATTTTGTTTGGGTTTCTTTCTCTGTCTTCCTGCACTGTACTAAATGAATGAAGAAAATGAAGTTGAAAATAGTCTGTGATTAAGGCTGCCAAGCCCAAAATCAAGGAAAGCAGCAAGAGAATTAATGTCAGTACTTGGGCAAAATGCAGCACTGCTTCCCTATGGATTCACTTTGGATTTTGGGACCTCCACAGCTGAGTGCTGCCATCCTGGACATGGACAAAGATGTTGAAAAAGCCAGTGGTCCTCTATATCCTAAAAAAATGGCAAAGTGGGGGAAATGGCCAGATTAACCTCTGGGGGGAAGGAGGGGTGATGAGGTGATCCCAATAATTCCTTAGCTCCAAAAAAAACCAGTAATGAGCCTTTTCAGGGTGCTCCTGAGTTATCCTACATTGGCCATCCAAGAGGAAAAATTCCTGGCTATTTCTAACCCTGGCCTGACTCTGAGTGCTTCCCACCCTGCATCTGCCAGAGCTCCTGTGGCCACATTAGCAGGAGCCTGTCAGGAAGCTGCTCTGCTTAGACTTGCTGAATTATTGGACAATAAGGAAGATAATGAAGCAAAAAAATTCCAGAAGAAAACTGCCTTCGTGCTGGTGGCAGGCAGAAAGATTTCTGACCTCGAGGTTGTTTGCATTTTACTTAATTAGCTCTAAGCCCCGTAAAACTGAAGAAAAATGAAAATAATCTTTTTTTTTTTAGGGTGTGTAGCTTGTGCTGAGGACGGGCAATGCAGAGGGTTTGTTTTCTAATGCTCCTCTTGACCCTTTTTCCATCTGTGACCTTGAACAAAGTGCTTATTCTCTGCATCCACTCATGTAAATAAAGTAATTTCTGAGTTTTGTAGATTAAAGCTTTTAACAGCCAGATAAAGTGTTTCCCGGTCTCTGGAGGATGAATTTTGAAGGAAGAACAGGGCACTGCTCCCAGTGTTATTTTTATGGATGCCACAGCTTGTTCCAAAACTGATGCAAGTCACCGGGACTCTCGTTGCTGACTCCAGCCGTGAAATGCTGGAATTAAACTCTTTGGAGAGCCAAAGGCACTCAGATCCAGCTGCAGAGCTGAGACAGGGTTAGTTACAGCACAGAGAGCTGTCACTGAGGACATTTAACTTGGATCTCTTTATTCCCAGCTTTCTGATTGAAGAGAGCCCTTCCTCCCTGCCCTCCCCTCCCGCTGCGGTTGGACGCCCACTCGGGGGAGAGGGAGATGTGATTTGGGAGGTGGCTGCGCCGTTCCCAGCTCTTGGGAGCTGAGCTGCGAGAGAATTATTTTATTTGGAATGTTGGGAACGTTTTTCCGTCTGCCAAATGTTGCTTCTGGGTACCAGACACTGCCTGGGGGAGGCTGATAAACTAATTTCTCTCATTTCCCAGGCTCTGGTTATGAAACTGCCACGAGAAGGATTTCTAG